AAGGCACTGGCACTGCCAGGCTGAGGGGCAGTCTGCCTTGTGTTACAAAATGTTTATCAGTAAATTCTGCCCTGCCTGGAGCCAAGGATGAGTACCAAATGACTGTAGGAAAGGATGGCTCAGACCAAAGAGTACAAATGCAAAGAGGGGCCTGGGTCCCCACTCTGTCCCAGCAAAAGCAGCTTTTAAACATGTCTTACAATATCTCATCCTCCTCATCGCTGGTATTATAGGCATGTAACGTATTATCTGGCTGTCATTTAATTTTTTGAGCTTTTTTTGCATGCTGGATATATTAATTCCTTGTTAAACAAATAGTTGCCAAGGATTTTCTCCCATTCTGTAGACTGTCTCTTTGTTAATTGTTTTTTTGTAGAAGCCTTTTAATGTAATATCATTTATACTTCAAAAACAAAATAACCAAGGATACGCTGGACATCTAAATGAAAACAATAAAGCGAAGAAAAATTATAGAGGATACTAAAAGATGAAAAGAATCTTCCATGTTTATGAGCAGAAGAATAATACTCTGATAATATTATGTAATCTATAGATGCAATGCAATCCTCACCAAAATTCCAATATTATTCACAGAAATTAGAAAAAAAACATAAAAGTCACCAAAGGAATCCTAGAAAAGAACCCAATGTTAGAAGATTAAAACTAGGTTTTACATCAAAGTCCAGGAATACCACATTAAGCCCAGGGCATCTTATGCCAAATTAAGAGACAGGGTGAAGGCAAGCTGAGAAAGATTTATCACATGGCAGTCATGGAAAGTACATCTTCAGTTGTCTTCAGATATAGACACTGGCCTCTAGTTAAATTCAGAGAATTGAGGGTAGGGTAGGAAGAAAGATATGCATAGTTAAAACAATCAAGGTATGGTGCCATACCTTGATTATTTGGTCTCTGTCTCTAGAGAAATTATAAGTTTACCGCTGGAATGGAACATGAACAAGATTCCTGGCAGTTCATTTCTGGAGCTTTGGCTATTTATTCTAAGATGATAAGAACATGGCATTGCTCTCTCTCACAATATGCTTATCCTGTTCTTTCTGGGGTTCAAGGTGATTGTAAAATGCATGCAGCAGGAAATAGCTCACATCAAGGAGTACAGATGCTGCCGAGGACCAAGCCTGAGATCTGCAGATTGTGGATCAAATCCAATCCAGGCAGGACTCAAGCACCAAAAAGCTGGAAGTGGAGATGTGGTTCAAGTAGTAGAACACCAGCCTTCAGCATAAAAGTTAAGGGACAGCACCAAGACCCCGAGTTCAAGCTCTAGTACCAACACACACACACACACACACACACACACACACACACACACACACACACCATTAAAAAAAAATAAAGAGCATAGATGATAAGGGGAGAGAGAATACTGAGTGTCCAGCTTTTCATTAATTTATAAGGCCAAGCAAAAGAATCTTTGAAGTTGCCTCCTACAGTGTCACCATACCTAATTTCAGCCAGACATAGCAACTCACACCCAGCTACTTGGGAGGCAGAGATTGGGAAGCTAGCCAGTTCAAGGCCAGCCCAGCCCCTCCCTGCTAAATCAGCAAGACCCTATCTCAACCCACAAGAGGGGAATGGTGGTATGTACTGTCATAACTATGTGGAGGTACATGTAGGGTCTGGCCTAGGCAAAAATGAGAGACCCTATATAAAAAAATAATTAAAACAAAAAGAGCTAGAGTGCATAGCTCAGGTGGTAACACATGCCTACCAAGCAAGAAGTCCTAACCAAACCATATTATTGCAAGAGAGAGAGAGAGAGAGAGAGATTGCGATTTTAAATTATATTACAAAGCCACAGCAACAAAAACAGTATGTTACTGGCACAAAAATACACATATAAATCAGTGAAATAGAAGACCCAGAAATAAGCCTACCTGATTATAAGCCCTCTGATTCCCAACGAAGATGGCAAAAACACTGGTGAAAGACAACCTCTTTCCCAACAGTACTGGGAAAACTAGAGATCCATGTAAGACAGAAACTGGAACCTATTTTTCACCCTATATAAAAATCAACTCAAAATGGACAAAGACCTAAATGTAAGGACCTGAAACTTTGAAAATGCCAGGAGGCAGTTTATCTATTGATGAAGATATAGACACAGGCAGAATTTTTTTTTAAATAGGACTCTAATAGTTCAAGAAATAATAGTGAGTTTGTAAAACAAATGGTTTAAATAGGGATACAGATGGACCCATTGCAACAATAGGATGTACAAGATATTATGTCAAAAAAACGAACTTTACAACTTTGGTGTGCGGTGGGGGGGATGGTAAGGGGAAACAAAGGAGGAGGTAACAATGCTTGATAAGAAATGTACTCATTACCTTACACATGTAATTGTAACCCCTCTGCACAGTATTTTCACAATTAAAAAAATAATAATAATGGTGAGTTTGTATACAATGCTGAGAAGGCTTAATTATATAGACTACAGAGTGAAAACATCAACCTTCATAAGTAAGTAACACAGTTAACAGAACTTAGGAAAAAGAAAGAGAAGTATCAAAGAGAAGTTGAAAGGTAGTAAAACTTCTCATCTTACATAATGAGAAGTCAAGAGATTCTACTAAAAGATGATAGAATAAGAAATACTAAGTATTTCCTATTACTTAAAGTCACACAGATTCAGTAGCATGTGCCTTTAGACCCAGCTACTTGGGTGGCTGAAGCAGGAATATCACTTGTTTCCAGTGATTCAAGGTCAGCTTGTGAAATATTATAAGAACTTGTATAAAGTACAAAATAATCAGAAGAACTAAAATTATTAATATTACTATGTGTGTTTGCTGACTGGGAAAGAGTATTTTTGGAATGTGTTTGAATGTCCAAACTTTCCTACTGTTTACAATTGGCCAAGTTTACACATTTATAAATTCTTGCCTGACCCTTTTGCATACAATTTGATTCAAATGCAGAATTATAGGGGTTAATGTCCATATCTCTAAAGGTGGAATTTATTAAGTTATCTCCCAAATCAATAATATTTGAATATACAGCAATGAAAAATCTAAAAAAAATAAGAATTCCATTTAAAATTACAAAAAATAGGACATTAGGATCAAGTTTAATCAGAGAAATATATAACAGATAAACTAAAAACTCTCCATTATAGTTTCAATGTGTCTCTCAAAAGAGATGAGGAAAGGGGAAGCCAAGGAAGGAAATTAAGGGAAGGGAAGAGGAGGGAAAAAAGAGAGAAAGAGGAATGAAAGCAGGCAAGCAAGCAGGCAGGCAGTCCACAGAATGGGAAAAACATTTGCAAATTATGTACCCCATATCCATCAGGATAACTGTAATTAAGAAAATGCAAGGTCGTTTTGGCAATGTGGAGAAATTAGATGTATCGTACCTTGCAGACAAGAATGTAAAATGGTATAGCTGCTATAGAAAAAAGGTGGGTAGTCCTTCAAAGTTGATACACTGAATTGATCCAGCAATTCTACTCCTTGCACTCCTCTGTGTATATCTGAGAAGTAAAAACCTATGACCGCACAAAAGCCTGTAGATGAACACTAATGAGCATCATTGTTCAAAACACTAGACATTAATGATTAATGGAAACAATCCAAGTATTTATCAACCAGTAACTATTTAAACAAAATGTGGCATCAGTACCCTGGAATGTTGTTACACTTAAAAAAAAAAGGGATGAAGACAAGCTACAACATAGATGAACCTTGAAAGCATTACGCTAAGTTAAATAAACCAATATAACATATTATTACATGGTTATATGTAGAAGGGATACCAAGGAACAGGCAAATTGGTAGAAACTGACAGATTACTGGTGATGCGCAAGAGACTGAAGCAAAGGAGGGAACAGTGAATGACTGCGTATAGGGTATTCTGTTACTGTTTATGGAGATGAAAATATCTGAATCAGATAGTAAGGATAGCTTCATTGTGACTGTACTGGCAGTTATTGATTTGTATACTCCCAAATGGCTAAAATGAATCATTTTATATTATTCAAATGTTACTTCAATTTTACTTCAATTACAAAGAAGGAAAGTTTCCTTTCCATTACTAATTATTTTCTACAACCTAATTTTTCCATGCTAAACTAGGTAAATAAATATACTGCCTTCTTAGCTAATTTAATAACACTAAGAGTTACTATTAAAAAGAAAACAGATTAGTAGACTTTTTGAGTGGGGGGAGAGCCAATCCTGGGGCTTGAACTTAGACCTTGGACACCATCCCTGAGCTGCTTTTTGCTCAAGGCTAGCATTCTACCACTTCGCCATAGTGCTGGCCTTCAGTTTTTTCTGTTTATGTGGTACTGAAGAAACAAACCCAGGGCTTCATGCATGATAGGCAAGCAATCTACCACTAAGCCATATTGCCAGCCCAGATTAGTAGACTTTAATTATACCTTATATATAAGTCTTGTCCACCCTAATCATCTTTCTTTCTTCACTCATTTATGTTATAGTTCCATTATAGATATAGTTTGGTGCTCATTAACATGAATAAAAATTTAAGAAGCTGGCAATGGTGGCTCACACCTTAATCTTAGCTACTCATGTGGCTGAGATCATACCACAGTTCAAAGCCAGGGCAGGAAAGTCCTTGAGTCTTATCTCCAATTAACCACCAAAAAAACAACCAGAAGTGGGAGCTGTGACTAAAGTAGCAGAGTTCTAGGCTTGAACAGTACCCACACCCTAAGTTCAAGTCCCAGGATCAGCGCGCACACACACACACACACACAAAAAGTGACTAAGTCATACATACTTCTAATTTCTGAATAATAATAGATTTTTAAGTAAAAACATAAATAAACAAAATATGTAAGTTGTTTCAGGGAAAATTGTGGCCAGTTACTAAACAACAACAGTGCACTTGATAGAGGTTTTTAATTTGTAGTGTTTTCCTCCAATTGAAGGTGTTAAACGGTAAATTCAATTCCAAGTTTCTATTATTTTATTGTTCAGATGTTTCACATTATACTTATGAAGAATACTTACTTATCAAGGAAGTCTTTGTCCACTATAGCAGAGATGTCAAGAAGAGGATTTCCCATCCCAAAGAGGATATTTTCACTAAAAAATACAAAAGCAAATAACTTAGAAATACTTATAGAAGTCAGTTGGTATGTAAAATGAACACAAATGTAAAAATAAAATCCATGCTGCAAATAAACATAACATTTTCGTTGCTTAAACTTTTATCAATTACATGCAAAAGTATATTTTAGAGGTAATACAAAGATATTTAGCAAAAAAGATGATTTTTTTTTTTGTCTGTCATGGGGGCTGAACTCTGGGCCAGGGCGCTGTCCCTCAGCTCTTCAGCTCAAGGCTAGTACCCTACCACTTGAACCACAGCGCTACTTCTGGCTTTTTTCTGCTTATGTGGAGCTGAGGAATCAAACCCAGGGCCTCATGCATGAGAGGCAAGCACTCTACCTCTGAGCCAACTTCCCAGACCAAAACATGATGATTTTTAAATTGGATGAAAATATATAAACAAAAGAAACTAGATGAGGGCTTAAAAAATAGTTATTCAAGCTAATGATTAAAATGAATTTCAATATTTATTTAAAATGACTATTACATGCCTGGTTCACATCTGTAATCTTAGCTGCTTGGGAGGCTGAAAATGCTGAGATTTCAGTTTGAGGCCAGCCTAGGTACAGAAAAAAACCTCAAGAGACCCCTCCTACTCAATAAAGATCTGGACAAGGAGATGCATGCTTATGATCTGAACTACCAAGAAGCCTAACACAGGGGGATCATACTCAGGCAAAAGGCCAAGCAGAAAACCAAACCATATCTCAAAATAAGCAAAAAACCAGGGATAGAAACATGGCTCAGCATTAAGCATGTGTGCTAAACAAGTTTAAGGTCCTGAGTTCAAACTCCAGTACTGAAAAAAAAAAAAAAAACAAGGGATATGGTAATGAATGCCTATAATCCCAGCTACCCAGGAGACAAGGACTGTTGTCTCAGGCCAGCCTCTATGAAAAACAACTAAAGCAAAAAGACTGACTGATTGCTTGAAGACAGGATCTTGCTATCTAGCTCCAACTGGCGATATCATTATGTATTAGCCTGAAATTTAAGATCCTGCTGAGATTCCAGGTGTGTGTCACTGTGTCCAGCTCTAAATGTCCCATGATAAGACTAATTTTAAGAGTTGCTTTGTACATTAACTTCATCAGCTGATGTCAATCATCAATCAGTTAAGACAATAAAGAGTATAGGCGACATATTTTATGATTTCATGTATAAAACACTCTCAAAGTGACAAAGTAATAGATCAGTAAATGCCTGATAAAGGCATTTGTGAGGAACCAGAAACTCTTGACTTGGCATCATGAGTGTGATAATAGTTATACAAATCTGGACATGATCAAATTTATAAAACTGTATACCACCACCATTTCCATAAAACAGGGCATACAAAAACTAGTGAAATTCTAGTAAGATCTATAGTCATCTTATAGTGCTATACAACATTAATTCCCTGGTTTTCATAACATCCTATGGCTATATAATTCATTGGGGAAAATAAGTAATTCGTGTAGAGGAACTCTGTATTTCTTGTCACTTCATTTGAAATACTTCAAAAGAAAGAGAGAAAGATATAAAAAAATTAGAGATCCAGATAATAATTTAGTGGTACAGCATGTAGTTAGCATGCAAAAGGCCTAAGTTCAATCCCCAGCACTGCCAAAAAAAACCATTAGGATGACATCATTTGGACTAACAGAACAAGAACTTCCAAAACAACCACTCTTCTATAAAAACAACAATAGTACTCGCCAATTTTTTCTTCTTTTTTAGAACTCTAAAATATTAACCAAAGGCTTACAATAATTTGAAGACCTCTAATTCAAAAAAAGAGAGGGGAATTATTCCAAACTAAGGAATAAAACATAAGATGGTTTACATCTCAAATGGACAAACAATGGACAGTCAATCAGTTCCCATGAGATTATGAGATTATCTTTCATGACAGATTTCTTCTTTGGGGGGAAGAATAACTAAGTTTATGGTTTTGTTTTTCAAAATTCTCTTCCAGCCAGATGTGGAGAAAAAGAAAGAAGAAACAAAAACCCATCTGATTCCAGATCTGATGATTTTGAAGAAGGCAGCAGGCCACCAGGAAATCTTCCCCACAGAATGGGCTCAATCAATCATTTGCATGGCCTTAGAATTCCTACATGTTAGGTGGATGAGGAAAGTAAAGGTCTGCTCTAAGAAGTCCATTACTGGATGCACACTTTGACAGAAGAAAGCCACCAAGAAGTGGAGGGCTGACAGTGGACAAGCAGATGAAAGCGTACATATAAACAATGATCTGGTTCTTCACAAATAAATGAAGTCATGCTGAGAAATACCTCTGCAAAGATCTGGAATGACTGAACTACAGTCTCATAAATGACATTTGTCTCTTTACTACATAATTAAACATTAATATAGTTTAACAAGTAAATAACATTTAAGCTGAAAAACTGACTTATATTTCCATAATATGAAGAAAATAAATAGAAGGCTATGTAAAGCCTCCTGAATCTCAGTAAAAACAGCAAGTTTTGTGATATTTTTAATTTGCTCTATTTCCATTCCTCTTCCTCCATATCCACAGTGGTCTTCACAGTAGAATCCAGGTGCCAAGCAGCTAGTAGAGGGGTGAGAACTGGCTTGGCGCTCTTCAAAGCCCCATTTGAGAAGTGCTATTATTTCAGCTAACTGGCAGTTCTCTGAGAAGTCCCACTCCTGAGGCTTCCTGTTATTTGACCTGATTCTGAGCTTGCCTAGTGCTTACAATCTTTAACTCAAGGGTATTTGTCATAAGCAACCAACTCCAATTGTTTAACATCCCTGATGCCTAAAGTAGTTGGGGCAAACAACAGCTATCCAAAAATAGAAAAGGAGAATAAACAACCATAGGAGTTTTGAAAGGTTCTGAAAATCCCTAAGAATCCTGAAGGCCATTAGCATATGTTCAGGGCTGTGGGCATTCTCAAAAAAAATCTGAGAAGACCTGAGCACGCATTTCAAACTGAGCGCTAGGTTCTACAGGAAAGGCAATGCAAAGCTCCAAGGCAGTTTGAGAGTTAAAAGCATGCCCCAACAAGCACATAGTGCCTCTCAGAAAAGACTGGTAACAGTAACAAGTATGGACAAGGATGTGAAGAATAGTAATCTGTACACATTGATTTGGGGAGTGCAAAATGAGGTCACTTTGGGAAACAGTTTGGCAGTTCCTTAAAAAAGTAAACAATTGCTTTTTGAACTTTGGGCTTAAGTGCCTCTACTAAATGGATTTTTGAAGCAAGGACACAGAATAACTGGCCTATTCCATACATTGGCCAGGTAGTCTAGTACCTCCGAGAACAGTGAGTAAACAAATAAACACCATATAACCTAGAAAGTCCACACTTAGTAAAAATAAATATCGCAATACAAAACTTGTATGTGAATGGTATTACTTATAGCGGCTAAACTAAAAATTATCCAAATGCCTATAATTGAGAAATGAACAAACATCCATATAATATTACTTAACCATAAGAAGGAATGAAATCCTCATGCTACAAACATAAATGAGCCTTAAAAATATTACTCAAAAAAAAAAGCCAGGAGCTAAAAACCAACTATTGTATGATCCTACTCATGAAATGTGCAGAATAGCAAATTCAAGAGGCAGAAAACAGATTAGTGGATTGGGGGGGGGGCGGGGAGAGGACTGCTAATGGGTATGAAGTTTCACTTAGAAGTGATGAAAATGTTCTGAAATTAGATAGTGATGATAGTTGTACAGCCTTGTGAGTATAACAAAAACTACTACACCGTCCACTTTAAAACAGTGATTTTATAGTCTATGAGTCATACCTCAACTAAATACCTAAATAAAAAAAAACAATTTGACTGCCAGGAACCAGTGCTTAACAACTGTAATCCTTGCTACTCAAGAGGCTGAGATCTGAAGATCTCAGTTCAAAGCCAGCCTGTCAGAAAAGTCTCCAGGAGACTCTTATCTCTCCAATTAACCACCAGAAAACAGGAAGTGGAACTGTGGCTCAAAGTGGTAGAGCACCTGCCTTGAGCAAAAGAAGCTCAGAGACAGTACCTAGGCCCTGAGTTCAAGCCCTACAACCAACCAAACACACACACACACACACACACACACACACACACAAATTTGACTTAGTATTTATAAATCACTAAACTCAATTGCAGTATGAGGTTTTTTCTTAAAATATTGCTGAATGGACTTCATAAATACAAAAATACAGAAACAGATATAAAACTAACCTGTAACACTAATCTCAGTCACTATCAAAGTACTGAAACTAAATAATACATTCTCTGTATATATGTTTCTAATATGCAAGAATACAATCCCTGGATACCATGAAATTCAAACTATACAGAAACACAAATTAGGACAGTTGTGTTAGTAGCAAGAATGTAATCCTAGTACCTCGAGGCAAATTATAGGCCAAACTGGGCTATGAAGCAATGACCTGTAACAAAACAATCCACCTTTAACTACAAAAATCTCCATATATTAAGAAATTAAATAACAAACTTTACAATTTAAACTAAATTTAGAACATCAAAATTTTATGATGCTATTAAAGAAGAGTAGAGAATATTTTTGTATAGGAAATGCATATTAGAAAACAAGAAAGGCATATATACAATCAGTAATATAAATTTCTAGTTCAAAAAAAGAGAACAGTCAATTGACTAAAAAGAGTAAAAGAAAGAAAATAAAAAGATGAGAGCAGGGGCTGGGAAGGTGGCTCAGTGGTAGAGCGCATGCCTTGCTTGCCGGGGCCCTGGGTTCGATACCTCAGCACCACATAAGCAAAAAGAAAAAAGCCGGAAGTGGTGCTGTGGCTCAAGTGGTAGAGTGCTAGCCTTGAGCTGAAGAGCTGAGGGACAGCGCCCAGGCCCAGAGTTCAGGACCACGACCGGACCCCCGCCCCCAAAAAAAGATGAGAGCAGGAAGAAATAAAATACGAAATATATCACCAAAACAAATTCAACAAAATCAAAATATGCATTTTAATTACCAAGCCACT